GAGCCTGAAAGATGGGAAGTACTACGCGTGCAAAACCATGAAGCAGACAATTAACAGGTATTCTGCAAAAAAATGTTTTCCTGTGCTCAGGCAAACAGTGTTGCATTTTCACTAGTGATGAGGTTACAATAGATGTCACTGCTTGAAATGTGGGCAGCCAGTGCACTGGTTTATAACCAGACTGTGCACTTTAAATCTATGCAACCATTTATCTTATTATATGCATAATGTCACTGTCATACAAAGCTGTGAAATAAAATTGACCCATTGGCCCTCATCCTCACGGCACACTTTTTCAGGCAAAGTAAGCAGGTATACAATATGACTATACAATTAACTATATTATACACCTGTCAAATCAAATGTGCAAACGTCATCTGTTGTCTGTCATCAAGTCTGGAGCAGGCCAACAACCTGCGGGAAGTCCAGGCAATGAAGAGACTGAGCCCACATGCAAATATCATCCAGCTACATGAACTGATTTTGTGAGTACAACAATGTTGTCTATAATGAAGTTATTGTACTTCCCACAGCTAGATTCATGTGGCATGTCACATTAATCTAATACAATGTTTCAGTGACAAAGAAACTGGAACTGTGTCTTTGATTTGTGAGCTGATGGAGATGAACATCTTTGAGTTCATACAAGGTAAGTCTGCCAGTATGACAAGTACAAGCATATAATAAAACATTGTATGGATGAACTGGAAAGGGAAAGATGTTGATGTAGTGTTTCTGTAAAGTTTTAGGTGAATTTTGGGCTTTTTTTCATCCCTTGCAGGAAGAGAAACGCCGCTGCCTGACCATACAGTAAAGAACTACATGTACCAGCTTTGCAAGTCACTTGAACATATGCACAGGTAGTTATGAAAAAAGATAAAAATAAGTATAATTACATACTAATATAAATGTATAAGTACTCTTATTTTATTTTTCACAGCTGCGGGATCTTTCACAGAGATGTGAAGCCAGAAAACATTCTCATCAAAGTGAGATGCACCATTAATATAATTTGCTTTACAGAAATGTAACAGTGACCCTCTGGTTTTGAGTCATACACATTTTAAAAATGATTTTGTTTATCTTGCAGCAAAATGGTTTGAAGCTTGGCGACTTTGGCTCATGTCGGAGTGTGTACTCCAAGCCCCCGCACACAGAGTACATCTCCACACGCTGGTACAGAGCCCCAGAGTGCCTCCTCACTGATGGGTACTACAGCTTAAAGATGGACATGTGGAGTGCTGGTTGTGTCTTCTTTGAGATCATGAGGTACCTCTGCAGGGGAAGGGCACAGCATTTTAATCTCTATTACCTAAACAGGACATCAGTTCACAAGTTCATGAGATAGGACTGGTTATACACGATTACACATACAATTCAAATGATACCAATGTCTGCCTTCAGTTTTCTTTCCTTGTTATTTGACTGATCCTGTCTGCCACCACAGGCACAAACAAATGTCATACAAATGCTATGTAAATAGCTTTGTTGTATACCTGTGCATTACAGTTTGAATCCTCTCTTCCCTGGAACCAATGAGTTGGACCAAGTTGCCAAGATCCACGATGTGTTGGGGACACCAGATGAAAGTATCCTCTACAAGTTCAAGCAGTAGGTGTTCCTCCTCAAATATGTTGTTCGAAGAGTGTGTCTGTTACAGAAGCTGTACAAACAAACTGTGAATATCTCCTTTTTAATGTGCTCTTCTTATGGTTCCAAAATGCATGGCAGATCTAGGGCGATGCATTTCAACTTCCCCCCTAAAAAAGGCTCTGGTATCTCACGATTAGTGCCTAACTGCCCGGCTCCAGCGCTATCACTGCTCTATCAGATGCTCGCCTATGACCCTGATGAACGCATCTCTGCAGAGACAGCCCTGCGCCACACATACTTTAGGGAAATCAGGTAAACCATGCAAATAAGACACAATTTAAGACATTTTTAATGAAATTTGCACAACACAATTGGCAGGTTTGTTGGTATGACAAACATCAGAACGACTTTAATTTTAATTAATTATATCCTGTCATTTGTGATAGAAGTCTTGCTTGTTTTTTTTCTCCCAGGCTGGCAGAGAAGAAAAGCGAGACTCTTCACAGACTTTCTGGGACTATGGATGGAGTAGAGAGCAGTGGGACGCACAACTCCTTAGACCACATTTGGCGCCCAACCAGACTTGGCAAACAGCTGAGGGGAAGACACACGAGGCAAACACCTTTAATGAGCGTAAGTCTTATTTCTACTGGTCAATCTTAAAGTCAACTGAAGTAAAAATGTCCAAAACCCACGAGTCCAAAGAAATACAAATCCCACCGGTACCATCTGATACTTTCTCTTCAGCACAACACAAAACACGTAGCAGAGCCACTCATTAGACGGAACGTCCTACATTATCCTGCAGAGCTGCCCAAGCTCAACATGGTTGTACCAGGACCACAGACCTCCTTCCCAGTCTCCACTATGCCTGCATTTACTGTCACTCACCGAGGCACACTGCCAGCCATCACATCGAAAAAGTGCCAGTCACGGGTGGCCAAGGTAAACATGGGAGTGCTGCATAAACATCAGGCTTTTTACATTTTTGAGTCATTCAGTCATTTAGGCCTCCGGGGAGGCAATGTGGAAATTACGTAGACCACAGCTGACCAGTTTGTTTTAAGTACCAGGTGTTTCTGAAAAATGCTCACTGTGTTGTATTAAGGAAAAAAGAGGAACGTCAAATTAATAAACCAAACAAGTGCATGGTGGTGCTTTCTAAGGGCTCTGACTTGGCATTCAGGCTGCGTTTCCTCTCTTCACAGCCCCGGAATGAGTCACACCGCGCAGCTTTCAAGACCTGCTACATGCCACCTCTGGACAGGAAGCATGGAGGCTACTGAGAGCCCAAAACACTTACTAACAATCGTTTTAAATAAAAATGACCTCTTAAAACAGGATAGACCTGTTAAACAGGTTGTTGAGAAGACAATGTTTGGACAGGCCTGATGCTGAAATCTGTAAACCAACACCAACTTGTTTGGGGAAAAGAAAAATGCAATGAGGACCGCCGAGCCTGTCATCTAACCCTTTACGACAGCTACATCAAACGGTTTAACCCTAAGTGTATTGATGTAATTCATTATGATCTCTACACAAACAATATTAGTCTGTCATATTAATGTTGGATTGAGAGTGTGTAGTTTAGTTATGATCTCTCTTCTACTTGACCTAGTCAGGTGTTACATGTTTACAACTGTTTATTTCTGAACCTATTACACAAGCTAAGCAATAAGGTATTTGACAAGTGAACAGCTGTATACTGGAAGCATATTAAATGGCATAGCTTCTTTGATGAGGAACATGACAAGTGCCTTTAAAAAGTAGTCACAACCCTTGGACTTTTTCTAGTTGCAGTATTTTACAACTTTGAATCACAAATGATTAAGTAAACCTTTTCACACTGCAACAGAATAATGTCTCTACAAACTGATCTGAAGTCAGTGCATGTATAACACAAAACATCCTTTGCGGTGACACCTAAAATAACACCAATATTTTTTTAGACATTTAAATAATAAGTTGAATGTGATCTGGTGTATGTAATTGTGGTATGACAAGTTGGGTAAATCTGGAAGATCCAACAGCTGGTAAAACTGTATCATGAAGACAAAGGAACATTTTAAACAAATCTCCAGTAAGGAGGCAGAAAAGTGTCATTCAGGGATAGATACATAAAAATTTGAAAAAGCGGAAATCTTGTCTAAAATTTGTGGTAGTCTTGCAAAGACAGATACACCAAAGTCAGAAAATGAGGCACATAATGGCTTTAACTGAACTGCTGTGATTTAAAGTTGTAAAGCAATAAACATGGAAAAGTCCAAGGGTGGGGTTATTGCTTTTTATTAGGCACTAGATACTTGTGATTGTCCCTTTTCAGTAGTTGTGAATGAACTCCTCGGAACAAATTGATCCATACGGCAATAATCTCCCTGTACAAACATGAACAGCAAGAACATTCGCATTGAGTGCTTCGCAATTGTTTTAAGGCACAACAGAGTCTTTGGAGAACCATTTTAAAATGCACATTCCATAATCTAACTGTAATGTAAATAAACAGCCAGGTTGCGGGCAGCAAAACACAGGATTAGATCAGTTAATAACAAAAATGACTTTCATATTAGATCAGTTATTTATGTGTAAACATCTGTGTTTGCAGATCGGGCCTGAAGAAATTCCTCAAAAAATTTTTAATCCTTTGTTAAAACGTAACTTGGCCTATACCTTCATACTTACCTACTTGAAGCATTGTGGCTTAAAAAAAGTACCATTTCATTCAGAGCCGTGAGCTCATTAATATGGACGGCGACTCAGTCTGCACTTTATTGCGTTGGCTATTGTGACACAAAAGTAAAAATAAAGTGTATCATTTGTATGATGTTGTTATTAACTTGCATTACAAATACTAAAATCATTTACATAATGTCTGTATAACCACCTGACACAAAAATGTTGAGAACAAATTGATGAGAATCCTGATTTTTTTTAAATTAATAATAAAGTGGGAAATGTAAAATGGTATCCACTTCAAAAATGTAGTTGTTTCACAAACTTTCTGCCTAATGTAGGGGTCACTGGAGTCTTCATGAACATCAACAATTAGTGGGTCATACAAATATAAAGTATAGGAATACTTCAGTAATGTCAAATGTGAAAGACTCCTTAGCTGAATTTCAAGTTTCTTATCTGAGAATGCTCATGTTGCTTTTCTTAAATTTCAGAGGATATAGTTTTTTTTCTCAAAGTATTTTTTGTGACTGAGGCATAAAAGAGTTGAGGAGTATTAAGATTTGATCGTAGTCAATGAGAGTTCCTGAGCTTCATAGACTCCGATACTTGACAGCTCCTTCCGTGCAACTTCTCCACTTTTTTGACAGTCTAAACAGTTTCTATGCCAGAGACATTCCAGCTTTGTTATGTAAATATAGCACATGTGGGTGAACAACAAAAAGAACAGAAAACGGTGTATTCAAGATTTTAATATTATTAATATGTATACTTTAGGCTTTAGAAATATAACTATCAATGACAAAACTTCCACTGGAGTAATGGTAGTTTGCTTAGGCCCCCATTAAATCAATTAATTACAATATACACATTATGATACAGAGCAGATTTGAATCTGAAATAATATTAAAATAAATGCTCAATAAGGTTTTAATAGTTTTTATCATTTTCTTCACCTACTGTATTAGCCATCTGTGAGTTCTGAGCACACCCAAGAATGTAAAGCCTTTTTCTTCTAATAAACTAATTTAAGTGCAAACTTTTTTTTTCCTTTAAAAAGACTATGATTGCAGCATCCAGCTTTATAGATTCCGATTTCAAGATTGAGGATGTTAAAGCCGAGTGCAACAAGGCAGTCCTCAACTTTTTTTAAATTCCATTAGAGTAGTTATAAAAACAAACAAATAAACAAAAAAAAATCAGTGCAAAGTCATTGATGAGGAGATTCTACTCCATAAAAGACAGAAGTGGTGGGTGAATGTGGATGGATGCAAAATTTTCAGATGCTCACGCACTTGGTCATAAAAAGGATAGTTCACCCAAAATTCATATTTTGTTCAGTAACCCTGAGCAGGCTAAACCACAAGGTCAAAAAAATGGGGTACACAGGTTCTGAAAATTAAATGAACTATCCCTTTAATCTCAAGCCACAATTGTCAGGTTTGCATCTAATGAAGCCAAGCTTCATTTCCAGAGGGGACAACAGTCTGATGAGATTTGACATGACAGACCTTTTTTTTAAATCTAAAAATGTGTTAAATCTCCAGAAAACAACAGTACATTAGCGCAAAACAGTCGACAATTGCACCACACCTTTTCTTGCTTCACATTCCTCCACTAGGTCAACTGAGTGATAAATGAAAAGAACAGAAAAGCCATAAACAAAATTGAGGAGGGGGAGGGGAAGGGTATCAAAGAAAAGGAAAACTTGCAATGCTTGCAGGGTGAAGAGCAGCATCAGACTCTGGGTTGCAGGGTTCTTTAGCAGCAGAAATATTGTGGCTATACTACTGTTCCACTGGGAGAGCTGGCTTGGTTTTGGGATGACAATAAACCCTGGAAAAAGGAAAACAAGGAGATTTGCATTGGGAAAGTTCACATACTGTAGCAAAAAGCAAGCAATAAATAGCTCATTAGAAATAAGCCTCGAGCCTCTTCTTTTCGACATCCCGGGTCCCCTGCTTTTAATTAAAAGCCTGTGTATGGCAGTCAAAGTGGATGAGTGTACAATGCAACACTAATGACGTCTTTGAGAGGTTTGCTTGATCAAGGCACTTCTAAATGTACATGACCAAACAGTTTTTTCCAGGAGCCTTTTTTAACCTCAAGATCTGACCTCTGAAAGCATTTTGTCTTTTTATTTAACAGAGCAAACCTACCAAATTTTTATTGCACTTCAACCATTTCTTACTCTATACATAAACATTTGGTTTGTTTAGCATTACTCAATCACTGGATCTTGTGGTTTGTATTAAATCACACTTGTTTTTATCCCAGTCCCAGAAGACACTAGTGTACTCCTCAATATCAGGATATTGTTTTACTAAACAGGCATTTGATTAAATTACAAGGGTCTCTAGCGCTGGTTAATGTCCGACTCTGGTTGAAAGTAATCTCACTGGACTATCTAGCCTTCTGACTGCCTGTACGGTCCAGATCCAGGCTATCACGTGCCTCGTTCTGGCAAAATCTCTCAAAACACAGACAGAAGGGAAGCATTCAAGGGTTTATACACACATTAAGCTGTAAGCGTGCGAGACACTGCAAAGATTCTTTCAGCAAATACACAGCCATTTGCATAAAAGCTGAAATGCGAGAGCATATGCAGATGACTTCTTGGCTATGCATTGTGGGATGATTATGATGAACCAATGGACACACTCCATGTGGATTAATGTCTTCTTTCCCCTCACAGGTCTACACAGGAAATCCTCCTTATCAGAATGTATTATATAACCAGACTGTAATATTTTCACGGCAATGGTTATATCTGAAACATAGGCAGCATAATAATAATAATAACCATAATAATAATAATATCTTTCATTGGAAAGCAGATGCACATTAAACAAAGTCTGATATGTTACTTGCCTGCCTGCAGAGAGTGGCAGTCTGACTATAAAAGCTAAAAATGCTTCTCAAAATGTCAATAGTTTATTTTATGCTTTCAGAATATTTCTTGATTTTCAGTTTCACCCCACCCGATTTTAGGAGCTAAAGATGCACAGACATACGGTTATCCCTTCAATTTGCCCCACATTTCCTGCATTAAAATGAACTTACCACTTTGCCTGGCCTCGCCCATGTGCAAATAAATCCCTCCTGACAAGCAGTCACTAAACAGTCCTCTAAAAATATGAGTACAGTCAGTCTCTCGTGTGCTATCTTTTTACAGATGAGGGGCTCCAGGAGGGGCACATCCTCCATGCGCGGGCACAGCAGAGTGCCCAGAGTCTTAGCAGGGTCTGTTTTGGTTTTTGTCAGCAGGTTGAGCTTGTCGCTGCTCTTGCTGCTGATGTGACCCATGCTGTGGTTGCGTTTGTGGTCCTTCTCGTGGTGGCGCTCCTTCCGATCATGGAGTGACAGTGTGGCAAACTTACTCACACCTGTAGCAATGGCACTGTCCATAATACCACTGCCGATGCCGCCGCCGCCACCACCACCACCACCGCCGCCAGCCTTGTTGGTATTGTTTGCCGTTGTTGTGGTGCCGGCTGAATGGGGTAGGCTGTTGGAGCGTGGTAATGTAGTAGAGAGGGAGTTAATGCCAGGAGTATTGGCACCACTGTTGTTTCCATTAGTAGTGTTGCTAGAGGTGTTAGTGATTATTGTAGCACCCGCAGGGGGGCTGGTTGCATTCATCACGTTAGTGTGTGTTCGTGTCCGTGAGAGCGGAAGATGGGGGAAAAGGATGTCCTCAGTGAGGTCCCATAGGCACAGCTGAGTGTCCTGGCCCACTGAGCCAAACCGGTATGTGACACTAACAGGCCGGCTGTCCGTGGAGTTGCGCTTGGAAAGTCGAGACTGCGTACTGTTGGCCCGGTCTCGTCCAAAGTGTATCATCTGATCCTGGAAGTCCTCATCGCTGCCACTGAACTCCATTGGGTCACTCTCTTCCACGCTGGTGGTGTAATGGTCAAATGCCACCACACTCACCCATGACTTGTGCCCGTGACCTCGGGCAATGACTCTGCAGTCCAAGAACGACCACACAGTGACGAGATCGTCCTCTCCACCGGCAACTATGTACTTTCCATCAGGGCTCCAGCACACACACAACAAGCCACCAAAGTAGCTCTTCATGGTGCCATGAAGCTCAACTGCGTCAAAGTTGAAGACCCGTAGGAAGCCGTCTTGGCTAACACAGGCTAGGAACTTCCCATCTGGAGAGAAAGCAAACTCATTCAGAGCCCCCTCGCCCACTGTCCATTTAAGGAGGGGGTTTCGTGTGGATTTACTCTTACAAGTGTGTACAGAGTAGTTCTCTCCCTGTTTAAGCAGCTGGTAGTGTGGTGCCGTGGTGCCACAAGTATGCTCCACGTTGTACAGGTACATATTTCCACTGGCATGAGAGACTAGAAACAGGCTCTCAGAGCCTGGCACCCATTTCACGCATGTTACTCTGGACTTATCTATTAGTCTCTGGCAGGTGAGAACGAAGGTTGAGGTTTGAGAGGCAGACAGGGGAGGACAGAGCAGAGGTAGAAGGGGAGAAGAAAAAAACAAAATCAGTACTGTATCATCAGAAAATCTGCAATTACACTCTGGTAACATGACACTCGAGAGTAAACCAGTCTGCAGAGGAAGCATTAACTTTGCACGTTACGCTGTACCTTGATTTGTACAATGTCATCAGGCTCGGCAGAACCTGACACAGCAGAAACATTTGATTTTGTATTTTCGTTTTTTTCGTTGGCCAACTTTTGTATTAAACCTCAATCTGAGAATTTTTTGGTTTCTTTGCTTGCTGGGATACAGAAAATGAGGTTTTTGATGAGAGATGGACTCTTGTGGAGATTTGAACTGTGATAAGGATTGGTGGTTGAACTGTGGGTTCAAGCCCTTACTGTATAACACACTGTGGTGAACTTAGTTTTTCTTGTCATCTGTAGGTAGGCCAACCTGATGATATTATTTAATGCCATGACTTGACTCTCATTGATACTTATTTTCCACCATTGCTTAGAATATTAATTCATGCAATTCATGCATCACCTAATTTCAAGGATACATAAAAATACATTATGGTTTAAAAGAAATACTGAAACAATATTTTAGACCTCATTTGAGAGATCTTTTATACAGCATAATATGTTGTGAGTGGTATATTAATTTATTAAAATCCACTGCCTCTCAAATTGTTCCTTTACTGACCAGCACTTTCTACTTGTGAAAATCGCTGTGTACAGAACTCTTAGTAATCAAACCTCTGTCCTTCAGAGACTTACCTCCTCATTGAAGAGCTTGCTTGTTTCCTTCTTGATGGGGTCAATGAGCTGTACCTGTCCTGCTGAGAAACCCACCAGCAAGGACACACTCTCTGCTGTAGCTGTGAGGTGGTTGAAGTCATGACAGGTGGGCTGCGTTCCCTTGTAGATGCGCTTGTCTATGGGCTTGCTCAGGTCAGCAGCCTGAAGAGAGAAAGCATGAATGCACATGAAGTGGGTGCAGGTACCTTTGGTCATAATGTTATTAATAAACCACTGGAGTGGAGTGTGCAGTTATATGTTTTTGTCATCTCAAAACACACTGAATATAGGGAGGCTGAAGGGACAATGTTAGTTAATTCCACTGATTAGACAGAAGACACTCAATTTAGTCAAAGCCTAGATTTCTATCAAGTGTCTTGGAAGTGTATAAGAAGTGACTTCTGAGCACAAACCAGTTCTGTATGACCTTTAGCAACACAACAAATAGCTGACAGTCACTGACCAATAATGAGGAAGAACTCAAATATAGAGGTATGCACTTTCACTGTAAATGGACAGATATTTTCAATCATAAGACAAAATACAGTATGACAAAGTAGAGTTTGTTTTGGAGAAGGAAAACAGTATTTTACTGCTGTGAACAAAACACCCTGGGCATATACAGTAGATAGCCAGCATAGCAACAGTTCCATTTGTTAATGATTTTCAGTTTACACTATTGGTAGAACGGAAAATTCTCTGAGTGTAAGATGGTGACTCAGTGGTTCCTCCATTACTGTTAAATGTGACATGGTTTGATATTTTGTCTCTCTGAGGCGAGACAGAGACACTCTTAAAAGTAGTCTAAATCAAGCATCCTGTCAAAAACAGTTCTTATGCCTCACAAAAGCATGCATGGTAATTGACAGTGCTTTGCTAATTGAAATTAACAGCAAATATGGTACATAAAAAGCCTATGTCAACAGTGAAGAATACTTTTTACTAACAACGTTACAGATGTACACATACACACATACAAGAAATTAACGTGTCCTCCTGAGCTACTGGATCTGTTAACTGCGAGCTGTATATTTATGTATGACTTTAAACCTGTAGCCATGTATCTGCTCCAGCAAAACATATCAGAGAAGTAAACTTGCCAATCTGCACCAATAAGGTGATGTATTGTGCATATTCTCGTGTGCAGTTATTGATATAATGAAATATAATGATTTGCATGTGCCATCATACCATGCCATTTTAAATTTTCTTGCTAGGATTGACAAGACTAAAATTACTAATATGCACAGTTTTGCTGTTTCCAACAACATTCTGTACTACAAACTGGAATTGTTTCTAATTTCTGGTGCTCCAGCCTTTAGTCAGTCTGTTGACATCCACATGTTTCTGTGCAAATAATACAATGGCTATGACAGCTGCTTTAAGTTAGAAGTAAGCTGATTCCTGTCAGGTCAGGAGTTAGCTGAAACCACTGTGTAACGTCAGTGACAAAATTTATAAGACCTCTTAAACTCTTGACACCAGCATAGTGTAGGCAACATATCGTGATAACACTGGATAACGTAGTTACAACGTGATTGCCACTCACATGTTTGTCAAAACCCACCTTGATCATGACTTATTGAAGAATTAAATGACTTTAACAGCTAAGCATAATCTAACATAACGTTACAGCGTATACACCACACAGATGGTTCGCCAAAAAGTATGCTCCATCATAAATGTCAAAACTAGCTTACGTTACCATTTCCCTACAACCAGAGCACCTCTGCTTAGTTTGATCGGGTCATAGATTTTAGTCCAGACCATAGACTGTATATAGTGGGACAGACATATCCCCAAGCTGAGTGCCAGTACATCAAGGATGTCGGCAGCAGTAAGCTTGCTAACTAAATGATTGTGCATACACTGAATCTGCACCATTGCAATTTGTAAACACCTGTCAGTCAAAAGGCGTCGACAGGTGTTAGGGTGGCAGCGTATATAACTGTCACTGTCATCACAAACTACAACCGTTAAAGCAGCACGAAAACATAAATCACACCAAAAGGTCAATTTTACCCCAGTAGTCATTATCCAACCTCTCAAACCCTTATATCCAACACAACAAAAACAGAGTGGAGGACAGGGGACGGGATTTAGCCCCTTGGCCTCGGAGTAGCTGGTGGTTTGCTAACGTTAGCCAGTTGCGTTGCTAGCTATCTTGTAGGCTAGCTTCATCATAGCTTCTAGCTGCAAGCTAATTTCAAAGTCAAGCA